CTCACTCACTCACTCACTCACTCACTCACTCACTCTCTCTTTCTCGGCCTTTGTGTCGCGGGCAGGCCCAACTGCCTGACGTGGCTGGGCCGGCGAGGCAGGCCCCGAAGGCTCAGTCAGAGTGCACGGGCGCACGACCGCACGGCCGCCTCGGCCCCGTTCGCCCCAGCGCCGGCTGTGGCTGTCTCTGCGACTCGACACATCGACACGCCGGCGGGCAAACGAGGACGCACGGCCCCGCCCCGCTCGGCCCGACGGCGCACTCTGCAGAGCCGCATTCGCTTGCCCAAGCCGCATTGCCGAGCCGGCGCTGCTGACTGGCCCGTTTGAACCTGGCACCGGTCGATAGTGCGCAGAGCAGGCCTGCAGGCCTGCCTCGGCTGCGCCTGATGCGGCTGATGCGGCTGATGCGTGTGATGCGTCATTGACCTGGGCTGTATTTGGGGCCAGTTCGGCAAGCGGCCTCGCAGCGCGGCTCTCTTCGCTCACCGGCCCCTCGTATGCATTTGCCCTCTTCGTTTGTGCCACTTTGCCCGGCTGCGCTGCCTCGTCTGTGCGTGTGTTGTGCTGCTCCAATTGATTTTTCCATTCTGGCCGTGCACGTTCTCGTTTGAGCTCATTTCCCGTTTACTCCAACCACCAAACCATCCATCCACAATTCCACCACTCCCGCATTTGACAGTCGCGAGCTGTAGTGAGTCAAGCAGATGATAAGTTGGCTCCAAATGACTGACGCACACAGACACGGTTGTCTATCTTCTTTCGGCAGACCAATGCCATTCACTGCAAAGCAATGCTTGCGTGTAATTAGAAAATGGATTATGCAATTGGACTGGAATTGGAATTTGACAGTCGCGAAGCTGTAGTGAGTCAAGCAGATGATAAGTTGGCTCCAAATGACTGACACACACAGACACGACTTTCCCTTTTCTTTATGCAGACCAATGCAATTCAATGCAAAGCGATGCTTCGTTGGCATGTTATGCGTGATTTTAATTATAATTCTAATAAATAAGCTGAGTTCATCTTTGCTGTCTGCGTAAGTCCTCTCTCTCGACATGGAAATGCATGCCACAATTTAATCTCTATGGCCGCCTTCGAAACCCATTTTTCCATTAAAATCCTCATCACCAACTGTCCACTCGACGCAATTGCGGCATCTCCTTCTTCGGCCTTCGCCTTCCCAACTCTGCATTCTCATCTCAAAAACCAAAACGCATATTCTCCGACCAATTTGTCTGCTTGTCCGATCCAATGTCTGCTAAACGTGTCTGGCACCATGACAACAAAATGAATCGCTTTGCGACGCAGTCGGCGGAGCATTTTAATGCCAATCGGCTCTTCCGTTTGCTCGACTTTCGTGGACTAGCTGGCTCTCAAAATCGCTCTTCAATCGCGGCCACGGCTTTCGTCGTAATCGAGCATTTGTCCAACTGGTACCAGAAATGTGATGGAGCTGGCCGGACGGTTCCGGTCATGTCCATCCATAGAAAGCGTCATTCCACATGGTTGCATTGGTTTGGCTCTTCTTGCTCTTTTCTTTTCTTCCTCGGAGCTATAAACAATTCTAAAAAAACTTGCCCAATCTGCTGCCAAGCCAAGTAGTCGCCAGAATCTGGCCGAAAAGTTGGTAAGTAAGAGCACTTGTTTACTTACAAGCTGTACCCAAAGTAATCTGTTTCTCATACAATTTGCCAGCTGTAATCTACAGCTAGACTCGTCAATCTCATGATTGATAATTGCACATGTTTGTTGCTAAAGCCTATTGGACAATAAAGTTCATTGTTGCCATGGCGCATAATTGACGCCAAAGCACACCTCTTCCACTGGCACATGGCAGATTTGACCGATTGATGATACGAAATGGGCAATAATGCCATCTGAAAAGAGCAATTTTCGAAAGATGAATACATTTGTAAATCATGCAATTTGATTCTGCAATCTATCGGTACCACAAGACAACCACAAGTGCTAT